ATTTCTAGCGCCTTGAGAAGCCAAAAGCAATACTGATGATTACTTAAAAGTTAAAACCTTAAGCCATCACATTCTTTTCTAATTTTTCCATTTTCGCAAGATTTGAATCATTAGCATGCTCATTAGGTTTAACATTATAAATAAGAATATCTGAGTAGAATTAATAATTTTAAGCTGAAGCATTTGCCAACCCATAGCTTAGAGGGAAATATAAGCATCTGCAACCCAAAGCCATATTTAACTTGTTAACTTTAAGAAAAGAAAAATTTGTAATCAAGCAATACTCACAGAGGTTGAAGACTGCGTAATGGTACCATTAGTAGTAGCCTGGCCTCCAACTCCAAAAGAATTTAAAACAGCCCCAATAACCTAAAAGCCAAGCGATAAATAATGAATTAATAATCAGCATCCCTTCACCAACATTATCAAAAGTTAATTGAAACACTTCGGAATTAAAAAGAATAAAAAAGAGAGAAAGTACCCACCCGACTAAGGTCTGGAGCACTGCCATCACCTTGATCTCCAACATTAAAGGTCCCAAGAACCACACTATGTGAAATCTGTCCAACTCGGTTACGAGGGACCCCTGCAGAAGCATCATTTCCTGCCATTCATAGTTCAATTCAATCTTGTTAGCTACAGCTATGAGTAAAACACCCTGAATTTCAAAGCCAGACAAGCACCTCTGGATATATTAATACCTCTATGACTGTTATTTCCATCTGCTTCTCCCGAACTTGCATCAGATGAAGGCTGTGACTGGGCAGGCTGCCTTTCAACTAAGTGCAATGTATGCTCATTCTCAACATCTAAAAAACTAGTGAAGGATATATGGTATAAAGTGAACCACAACAAACGAAACTTATAACAAGACAGCAAACTTGAGTAAGTAGATACAAAAGCATCTTGATTTCCTTTTTTTTTGGTAGTTACAACAAGGCTTAATAAAAAATAAGCGCCTAAACTATACTCAAAACCGACTTCTGGCGCCTAAAGGATTTTTTTGTTAAAAATAGGTGCCAAAAGTTTTTTCTGTTACATTTTTAGGTGCCTAACATTTTTTCTGTTACATTTTAGGTGTCTACCGTTAAAAAATTATTAAATGACAAGTGTTATGCTTATTTTTTAATTATTTAAAATATATTTTAAAATCTAAACGTGGCATGTGACACTTAACGTTTTTTTTTAATGGTATGCACCTAAAAATGTAATGGAGAAAACGTCAGCCACCTATTTGTACAGAAATTCTTTAGGCACCAAAAGTCAATTTTGAGTATAGTTTGAGCACTTATTTTTATATTAAGCCTTACAACAACTAATTTCCAGTTCTGGTTATTTATGACATATAACTTGAAGTGATTACGAAACAATATAGTTGTTGCTGTATGCTAAGCACTCAAGCCATTTAGTTAATGCTCATTTTAGACAATGAAGTAAATAGGTAACAGTTACAACCGCTAGCAATCTACTAACTTTCCAGAAAAAAAAATCTGAACTTGCATGCACAGGTCATGCTTTAAATTATATAATTGTGATAATTCTGCAAATGAACATTCCATCTAAGAAACTAATAATTAGTCCTGCAGCACGGTAAATCTTTTAATTAGAAAATATCTAGTTTAATTAAGGCCATGATGTTCTCTGGCAACATAAATGACAGGATACGATATTCAGAAAGGAGATGATCATCCTTTAAGACCTTTCCCTGAAAATCAGCCGTTGCTGACCAACTGGAACACCAAGTTCCTTAGCTATTCTCTCCTTGAACAATGAAACTGGTGTCTGAAATCATCCGTGTAATGTAACAGGTATCAGCTAAAGGCTTGACAAGGAACAATTTTCATAAAAAATTAAAGATGCACTGAATGACAGCAACTTTATGAGATTGCTCATGCTTAGAAGCAAGTACTTACATTTTTGTCAACAGGAAAACTAAAAATTCGTGAATCCAGAGTCTTTATCCTTAGCTCTACAATAGAATCAGAAGATTCCCCAGAAGTGCTGCCCATACTCGAACCTTCATTAGAGTGCTGATCTGCCATGGAAATTCAACAGCTACCAGTGCCTAGAACAGCAAAACAATATCATTTCCATTCAGAATTTTCCACTAGTTCAAATTCCTCAAGTAAATATCATTGGCTAAAAGGTAATTAACTCTTAACGAGGTTGAAGTCACAACAGATCAGCACTCAATGTCACAAAACAATTGTCTAGTTAATTTCTCTGATTATAATGGCAACAATATTTAGTTGTCTAGCAACATGAACTATTAAGAAGATATGATAAAATGAATATTGAAGTCTCTCTTCAAAAATGAGAAAAAAGAAGTTGGCTCATCACAGCTTTAGAATCTTATCTAATTGAGATTGAGCATTAAGATAGATTTTCATTTCTTATATATCACAGCTTTAGAATCTTATCTAATTGAGATTGATCATTAAGATAGATTTTCATTTCTTATATATCACTGATATACAAGCTATTCTTTTAGCCATGGTCAACAAAAGTCAAATGTTCCTACATTTAAGGTGCATGTTTGCATAACCAAATACAATACCAATATACTTTCAATTTTTCTCCTTTTAAAAATTAGAACCAAAAACTAAAGAAAACGCAAAATGGATAATAAACAAGATGTTATGCCAAATTCAACAAATCAGAATCGACGATAACATAAATCAATCAAAGCAATTACATAGCAATCATCGGATCGGAGAGCATAGGGGAAATCAAATTAGATCAAAATAATTTAAGACAAAAGAAATCATCAAATCAAACCCTAGAAAACGGTAGATTCACTTCGAAAAACATAGATAATAATAATCATAACAACAACAACAACAACAACAATTGAACCAACGGCACTAAGCCACGAACCTAAATAGTATGCAGTATAGTGAAAAATCCGAAGGAACCTGCGAATTCCGATGTGGTATATGAAAAAGGCAATCGAATGTATCCGGAAATGGAGGTGTTGCTTTTAGGGTTCACCAAATGGTCCAAATCGCGACGTTTTCAGGTAAGCTTAGTTCAGCTTTGTACGATACCTAAGTGGATTTGTTTGGGAGAGAGATTTGTTTCAAGAAGAATCTAGACGCACTCGGGTCGCTTCTCGTCTCCTCTTTTTGTCAGCTTTTCGCGTCTTCCAGTTTTACTTCGTTTTCTTGGGCTTAATAAAATACATCCAGTTGCATGCAACCACGACTGCGCCAGGTGGACACTAATTATTATCGGTAACAAATAACTAGAAGGCCCAGTGCAACAAAAAATTCAAAGCCCAGCACAAGCAAACAATAATTGGATTTTATCTATTCTTGCTTTTGGATGGAATTGGCGCTTCAGTGCGTCTCGTTTGGACTACTTTTTAGGTGAAACGTGCGTCTCGTGTAGAGTACTTGGCATCTCATTGGTTTGTATGTTTTCAGTTTTTACCACATTCAAAGCTTATTTCAACGCACTGGCCTTATTACTTTTCACTGGACCTTTGTTCTCTAGTTAACAATTCTTATCTCCGGTAGTATTTATTTTTTCGTTTTATATCATTTCTTCTTGATACATAAATACTTATATAATATCTTAATGATATTTTAAATTTCAACCCATTTGCGGGCGTTGGATGAAACAATCAGAGTGTGTACGATGAGGATGGCTACTTCCAATGGTTTGTATCAAGCTGAATGTAGGTGGTGCACAAACAATGGATGCTGATTTGATTACTTGAGGAGGTACTTTTCGTGACGACTTAGAATGATGGGTGTTCGACTTCTCCAAATCAGTAAATTGTTGTCTAGTATTTGAAACAAAGTTATGGAACAGTTTTTAAGGTCTAAATTGTTTGTTAAATATTATCGTCGAAACCGACAACAAAGAAGTACTTGCATTGTTTGTTAAAGATTTGAGCATTACAGTAAAATAAGTTTTAATGATTTTTTTAGATAAACGACATTTTTAAGCGCCGCTAAAAATTTTTATAAAAAAAACAAACGCCGCAAAAAATATCTCTAAAAACCTATTTAAGTGAGATGGTTTTTCTACTGGCCGATACTAAATTATTATTGTCACTTCCATTACAAGTCACTGCAGAAGATGAATCTAGGATACATATATGGGATCTTAGAAAGCCCAAAAGTCCTGTCAAAGAGCTTCCTGGACACACGTAATTGACTTGTAATCTAAGGTCCGTTTGGTTCACGGAATGTAAGATTATCAGCGAGAATTAAATTACCGGCGGGAATAAGATTATTGAGAATGTTGTATTTTGTGTTTAGTTTGTTTAGCATAAATGTAAGATTACAGAGTTTGGTTAAATGAATAAAATATTATTAGAATGTATATTTTACCAAATTGTCCTTATTATATATTTTTTTTAACAATTTGAATTCTACCATAATTAATTTATATATTTTCTTTAAAAAAATTAAATTCAGAAAATTTATATATATTTTTTACCAAATTAAAAAGATAAATAGGTTTAATGAAAGTTTAAAATTTTATTTTAACCCTTAAACTTCATATAAAATTCTAATTATGAACTATTTTTTGTAAATCTAAAATAGTTTAAGGATAAATTTGCAATTTAACTTTCGTAGAATTTTTTGTATTCAACAACAGAAAATGATATTTTTGAAAAAAATTAAGGGCATTTTAGTCCAAAATACCGGAAATGTAACAATACCTAAGGGAATGGGTAATCATATTCTCGGTAATATACCCTCAAAATACTATTGTTGGGAATAACTTATTACAGAGGGTTGGGAATGTTTGCCAACCAAACGGGGGAATGACATTTCATTCCTCCGGAAATGTGAGATACCCGAACCAAACGCCCTCTTAACGGTCTTTTTATTTTTATTTTTGAGCAACTTTACTGTTACTCTTCCTATTTTCTCAATCGATTGATTTATAGTTAATCTCCAACATTTGAGTTTATGTTCTGAGTTGGTTTCACTAGAAAGAAAAGGGAGTATTTAAGTTCATTGATTGCGAGATGTTTTTGTTTGCAGGACATGGGCTGTAACTTGTAACCCTGGGTATGATGGGCTAATTCCGGTTCTCTCTCTCTCTGAGCATTCATCTTAATATTGTTTTTTAGGGATAGGAATTAGGGTCTTGGATTAAACTGGTTACGATTCTTACGAACATTCGTCTGAATCAACTAGGCATAGCAATATCCATAGATTTTTAAGTCACTATAACATAAACTGCAACTTCTTGTTTATTGGTATATTTTGAAAATTCTTGACAAGAATTTACCCTTCTGCAGAGTGCTGGCACTGACTCAACTGTAAACTTGTGGACGGCTCCTACATCCGCTGAAGATGAGGCAACCTCTGAAAGGTTGCTCTAGTCTGGAGCATTGCACAACTTTGTGTTTTATTGGTTGATCTTCACTGGTATTTTATTGTTTTAATTTTGTTTTGTTAACAGCATAGCTGAATGGCCAGCTCAACTGGCTGACCCATTGCTTAATTCTTACAATGATTATGAAGATAATGTGTACGGTAATCAGTCCTAACCTCTACATGTGTTTGATACAATGGTTTTAAGAAATAAATGTAAGCACAATCTGTTGTCAGGCCTTGCTTGGAGTAATTGATAGCCTTGGATATTTGCTTCTCTATCATATGATGGCAGGGTAAGAACTACCTGCAACTCAGGAAGATAGATGAAACATATAATCATCGACTAGCGTGTCGAATTTGATTTATGTTGGATTTTCAGTTTCATTTAATCCAGGTAGTGGTAGAGCCGGTTAAGCCATTCCTTTCAAGAAAATGAAGGAGTTATTATGGCTGTTGTCGTGTAAAGTGACTAAATATTTAGGCAGACTTGGCATGAAGAGGAGCTAGCGGCTCATAAATTAAATGTTTCATGACTTGTAGCTGTCCTCCCAGTGTATTCTTTTTGAATTTGTTGAGTATAGTTTGCTTCCTATTATCATCATCATCTGACCTCGGTTATTTTCCATGAATATTGAATCATGCTTACCTGCACAAAAATCGTGCCATTTTTTATATGAAGAAAAGTTTGGTAAAATTTAAGCATCTATCAAAGCAGTTTAAGCTAAAGCGATTTTGATGTGCAGTTTACATGTTAAATTGATGTCTAATACAGAGTGAGACACATTACGTCAAATGAAACAGGGAACGATCATAAGCGATTTTTCTTATCTAAAAACAGAGTGGCGCTTACAAGTTACAACCACTTAGAGCAAGTAGCACAAGTTCATAAACACAGAGACTTAAATATTATATGTTGTACATATGTATCAGCCTAATCCGCGGACTTGTTTCCACCTTCATGTGTCTTGCCAATATCATCACGGTACCTTCCTCCTTGGCTGCTATTCTGCAGATGCTGATACATAAAGCCCCGGACAAAATTCGCAATCCACGACAGCGATGAAAGTCCAGTGATCCTGAAAGCTCCGGAGGTCAAGAATCCGGCTACACAACCGGCAATGAGAAGAGCCGCTGGGACCAGAACTCGTGGAGTTTGGCGACAGTTGTTTGATAGATAGTGCAATGTGGTCTGCATGAGTGTGGACTGTCCCGTCCAATGTTGTGTCGAACAAGTATCAATTCCTTGGTTAGATCAAATAAAACCAGGAGCATTGCAAAAATAAAAGAACCGACACATTATCAAATATATTCAGCCTGGGCAGCTTTTTTGCTCCATACCATATTTGGTTTATTAGTTTGGACCATTAATTGAAGGATTCTTAGGTGAACAACAATCAGCCCATTTATATCAAACATATTTGAGACAATCAAACCTATTTGAGGACCTGGAATCCCTCAGCAATCTTGATTTTGTACTATTTCAACTTAATTTGATAAATTTGTTGAAAATATATAAATTAATTACTTAAAAATAAAAATTATATAAAATTTCAATCAAATAAATCAAACAATTGATAGAATCAAATAAAGATCATTGTCAACAATAAAAATATATTATTAATACTAACATAAAAAATACATATAAATTATCCTGGATGATTATTGGTGTATATCAATATCTAGTCCAAGATACTAAAACAAGATAGATCAATATTAGGCATGTAAACGAACACAAACGAGGTATGTTCATGTTCGTTTGTTTAACTTTAACTGAACAAATGAACATAAATGAAAGAAAAATTTCTTGTTCGTGTTCGTTCGTTAAAGAATGTAGTTTGTTCGTGTTCGTTAATGTTCATTCATTTAAATGATAAACGAACACAAATGAACGAACATAAATGAACGGATGTAAACGAACATAAATGAAGACAATAAACGAACGTAAATGAACACAACAAAACGATCGTAAACGTACACAATAAATGAACATAAATGAACGTAAACGAACATAAATGAAAATATATTTTTTTTCCTAACAATTTTAGGATTATCTTTTATTTAATTGTTTTGAGCTTTTTTATTTGTATTTAAAATTAATTGAATTTTAAAATATTTATGGGTATCAGATTAAAATTTATTGGGCTTTAATATTTTAAATGGGTCTAGAGAGATTGAGCTAAACATAAATAAACGCAAACAAACGAACATAAACAAACGAACATAAATGAACGAACATATTATCGAACGTGAGCCCTCTGTTTATGTTCGTTCATTTAATTAAACGAACACAAAATATTATTCATATTCGTTTGTTTAATAAATAAACAAACATAAATGAACTTCCCATCAAACGATTCACGAACGATTCGTTGAACGTTCAGTTCTTTTATAGGCTTAATCATTGTAGTAATCAATTAAGCACTATTTAGATCTAAAAAGACAATGATAACCCTGATAAAAAAAATACATGTTATAAAAATAAATAAAAAACATGGTATAAATATAAACAAAACCATCTACTATTTTTATACGAAAAAAGAATATTTGTTAAAAAAATAAAATGATTAGATTATAAGGGGAGAGAAAAAAATCGATGATTAAATATTACAATCGATGAAAAAAATAAAAAAAAAAACGTCAGGAGAAAAGCTATTTCTACTAGGATTAATGATTAAAAATATAAATAATTGATGTTTTAAAAAATATTGTTAATAAACCTAAAATTTCAAACCCTAATATTAATTGATATGCTGTTTTCTTATAAAATCATTAAATGTTATATTAACTTTTGAGTTCGAATCTCGTAGGCCCTGGCATGCGTAATGGACTGTCATCACCAGCTACCAAGTAGCGATAGACTGATAGCTTACTTGTTTTTTATTCTTTATTTTCTTATGTATGTGATAAAAGAGAGGGGGTATATAGGTTTAAATATTTAATTGTACTTCAATTGAAAAATGAAAGGTTTACTGGTAAAAATTAATTAAGAATCAGAAAATATCAATTAATCTTTTTTTACTTAATTAGATATTCATAATCGAAAATTTTAAATTTTACTTAAGAATTGACTTCAATTTCATAGTCATCTTACATTAATAATGTTCTCCCTCATTTTGAGTTATATCAATTTAATCCTTTGGAATATTTAAATTGCATTAATATTATTCTTTGACCAACGAAAATCACCATTGATCTTGATATTGTGGATACGATCTATGATATTAATATGATAGTCTATATGTAAATGATGATGTAACATATGAGTTAAATTATTTTTTTAGTCGAGTTTAAGAACTTAATTAATTTTTATAAAATGTTTGTAAGCTTATTTAATATTTAATTTTTTTAAAAAAATGTTAAACTTTTTAATATATTAAAAATCTACTGAAAATAAAACAGTATTAAAAATTCAAAAATAAAACTTTAAAATATAAAAAGTAAAAAATAATTATAAAATATTAAAATTTACCAATGAGTTTTAAGTAGAGTTTGCAAAGACCTAGGCCTTGGTTATTAAGCATAAGTAATTTTGATGATAATATGAAGAATTGTTTTTATTAAAATATTTAGATTAAGGTAATTGTGTTTTATATATTTATTATTAATAATTTAAAAAGATTTTAAACATGTATTACCTTATGATCACGATAGAATATTAGAAAATACTCTTATTATATATACGAGTCATGTCCAAAATTATCTTGCTCTAAGTCTAGATATATATCATTTATGAGTTTTGTAACACCTTTAACCCGTATATGTCTCGATATACGAGTTAAAGATGTCACATCAAACTGAAAACATTTACTGAACTGAAATTTCCCTAAAAATTTGTTTCATTTGAAAATACTCTTGTTCTAACTTTAAAAATCTATTTTAAAGTATATTTCGGATTATAATTTATTTCTTTATTATAGGGAAAATAAATTCATTATTTATTCAATAATTTTACTAAACCATGTCTTTTCGTAAAACCTTTTAAAAACATAATAATGTAATAAATTCTTGTCATGCATAGTTACCGATAAAACTAAACTAAGTAAAATAAACTAAAATAGTTCTAGTTTAATATTACAATTTATTTAAAATAAATACGATAATTAGAAACTACTGACATAATTATACATATCACTATAAGTCAAAAGAAACATCATAGATGTCTTACTGATACTGATGATATGTATGTCTTTCCAAAAGATGCTCTGATAGCTCCTTACTGATCGTACTTATCCTTACTAGAACCTACGCATGAAAATCATCACGCGCTAAGTATAACTTAGTGAGGCAGTAATACTAAAGGTGAGAATAATTAAATAAAATATCAAAATACATAAAATCGTTAAAATAAAACAGACTGGAATTCTTCAGAACATTCAAACCAGATATTTCATGTTGAACTTTATCATAAACCTAAAAATAATCATCTGATAACATTCACAAGATCATAAATAATCAGATCAGACAGAATAATCAGTTTATAATTCTTTGTAGTCAGATACTTTTCAGAACTTTCTTATTTCATTTTTATAGCCCAAAGTATATTTTAAGAGAAAATAAGATACGTGAGTCAGACGAGTGTGTGCAATACAAATATCAGATCATCAGTCGGAACAGATAAGCACACATAGTGCTATCACATCGGAAATAATAATATGCACACCAAGTGCATTCATATCAGAATATATATACACTAATGTACACTCCGGTACATCACATTATATTAAAATCAGAACAGATAATCACTCTACCTCATGGAATGCCAATTGTACCTTTGACTCTCAATATAACATACATTGGGCTTTTAGTTCATTTCTTAACCATTTGATAAACATCATATTATAGTCGAAAATATATTTAATTCACATTCTTAAAATGTGACATGGACAGTTCATGTCCAAAAACTTTCATAAAACTTATTAAAGAAATTATGGATATAATTTCATAATCAAAACATAATTCATATCTTTGAAATAAACAAGGTGAGGTTGACTTATCGCAAGTCGTCCTCGACCAAAATAATTAAATAAATAAAGTGTACTCACATTTGCCTCACTTAAGAACTTGTATACGATAATACTAGTCACAAGCTTTGTCCTTTCCTTTCAGATAGTTCGGATTGCTAGTTTTATT